AGAAAGAAAGAAAGAAAGAAAGAAAGAAAGAAAGAAAGAAAGAAAGAAAGGAAGAAAGGAAGAAAGAAAGGAAGAAAGAAAGGAAGAAAGAAAGAAAGAAAGAAAGAAAGAAAGAAAGAAAGAAAGAAAGAAAGAAAGAAAGAAAGAAAGAAAGGAAGAAAGGAAGAAAGAAAGGAAGAAAGAAAGAGACACTACACAGTCTTTTACAGCCTTTTACAGTTGGGTGTTAGAAACCCAGTACCCCAGGCCTGACATACCTTCAGAAGCAGTGAATTTACTTACATGTTGTTAGGAAAAAACATATGCTGCCAGCCCTGGGCAGCGGAAACTACTATTGAAGCACATGTTTCAGCCTTTAAATACAAGTCTAATCATATGATACAATATGGGAGCTGTTTTATATTTTCAAACATGAACTTATGTGGTTATGGGTTCTATATGACTTTCTAAAAGAAAGTCAGTGTCTCTGTCTCTCTCTCTCTTTGCTTAAATAGGTAAGTAGATAGATGACAGATAATAGAGAAATAGAGAAATACAAAGATAGATAGATAGGTTTGTACGTATATATGTATATCTCTACCCATTTTATCATTTTGTATCATGGCAAAAATAAATACAAAAATGGATAAATTCATCAAGAAGATCTTGCAAAAATCAAATTGTTTTTGGAAAGACATGTTATCTAGCCTAATGGACTCCAAGATGCAGGACTGACTGAGCATAAACACAAAACCAGCATCTCTCTTAAATGAAGTTTTCCTCAGTCTTCCCTGGAATGAGCTCTCCTCACATGCCCAAAGCAGTGGATCATTTATTACCGCTTTTTCATGGAGGTCTCCATTCACTAGCCTTTGCTATAAACCTTGCCACTTGACCCTTCTTCCCAGTTGAGATATACGTGTATGATGAAATCTTTCACAACCTCCCCTTTTTCTCTTCTCATTCTCTTCATTCAAAAATCTTTTAAATAGGGACTTCCCTGGTGGCACAGTGGTTAAGAATCCGCCTGCCAATGCAGGGGACACGGGTTGAGCCCTGGTCCGGGAAGATTCCACATGCCGCAGAGAAACTAAGCCCGTGCGCCACAACTACTGAGCCTGCGCTCTAGAGCCTGTGAGCCACAACTACTGAGCCCGAAAGCCACAACTACTGAAGCCCATGCGCCTAGAGCCCATGCTCTGCAACAAGAGAAGCCAATGCAATGAGAAGCCTGTGCACCGCAACAAAGAGTAGCCCCCGCTCCGGCAACTAGAGAAAGCCCACACGCAGTAACAAAGACCCAACGCAGCCAAAAATAAAGAATAAATAAATAAATAAATTTATTTTAAAAATATTTTAAATAGCTGCACAGTATCAGAGACAATGAGATGTAATAGAGCAAATACTTTCAGGAAATCCTTGTTTCTCTTAGGTTATACTGCTCTTACCTCGCCCCACCTATCACCAACTGATTACTGGGCACTAAGCTCACAGTTCTCCTCTGTACTCTATACGCTCACAGTTCTCCTCTGTACTGCCATCATCCTCTGCCATCATCCTCTGTCCTGCCATCATCTTGGCTGACTTCCACATACAAACAGATGACCAGTCTAAGCAACAATTTGGTCTCATAATTCTCTGACCTCCTCAACTCCAACGACCTTGACCTCCACTCATTTCCAGCCACCTACTTCCACGGCCATAGATTGGAACTGTATTGTTCTGGAAGGCTTAAACTAAAATGTCCCACTCTTACGTGAAAAAATATGCGCCAAGATGTTAATAGGGGCTACCTTGATTAAGTCAATTATCTGTACTCTAAATGCACACTTTGATTTTCCTGAGGGAAACACTGCTCTTGCAATAAGGAAAAACAAAACAAAAAAAGAAAGAAACTTTATCACTCTGATGATAAATTTTTGTTCTTTCAAGTCTCTGAACTTCTTATACCCAGAAAATCTGTTTTTCAGTCTCATCAAAGACCTCTAGACCTTGACAACTTCCCATTGGGTTAGGTACCCTTCCTCTAAGCTACCTCAGCATCAGTGCATACCTGTATCATGATATATATTACACTGCATTGTAATTATTTGTTTACTTATCTATCTTTTCCTTTAGATTCCAAGTTCCTTGGGATCAAGTAACATGTCTTGGGACTCTGTCTAGCACAGTGAAGCTGTCGTGAATAAACACAGGTTTCTGAGTAAAGAAATGAATATTGAAACAGCACTGATCAATATGAGTAAGACTTTGATTCAGATTCTATTTCTGTCCTTAACTTTGGTATGACCTTGTGAAAGTCAGTCAAATTCTCTGAATTTCAGTTTTCTTGTATCTGTAAAATGGGGTGATGATAATCCTTGTCCTATCCATTTCATAGAGTTGTCAGGAGGCTTAAATAATATATATGTTAGGTATAAGAATTACCATTGTTTGTTCAGACTGGCTAAAACACATGATTTCCTTTTCTAGAACTGCTTTCCTTGGCTCACTGAAATCAGCTTTTTTATTGCTACTTGACATTAATAGTTTTAGAGCTGACTAACCATTAATTGCTCCAGACTGTTTACCCTTCGTTCCCCTAAACAAGATAAGGCACAGCCACGGATATCTTTTGTCCCGATACCATACTCATTTCCTTTTAGAAGAAGGATATAATTGTTCCAACATGGAGAAAGGCCTCCCAAGTGCTTTTTGGGAGAACATTTAAAGTACTCTAATTCTTTGTCTCTACCAGTTCAAAGGAAGCAAGATAGGGGATCCGAGAATTGTTAAAGGGAATGGAGAACTCAATTGTCACTCTCATAAATCTGGGCTACAAAAAAATCAATAAAGATCTTTAAACCAACCTAATAAAAATGTATCTAAATAGGATCTGCACTGGGAATCCGTTTTTATTTTCTTTTTCAGGAGATCCAAATTCAAATAATGGTTTACTTCAGTGGTTCTCAAATTTACCTGCACATTAGGAATCATCTGGGATTTTAAAAATATTCCAAAGCCCAGGCCACACACC